TTAAATCGAGCTCTCAATAAAGGAATGAATGCATCTATTGTTTCAAATGCTCTCTAAACTCAGAAAAATAATTAGTCTGAAAAACAGAAATAATTAGTCCGAAAAACAAACCAAAAAATACATTTTCAAGTGAATGCAATACGGTTCTGTATAAAAGAACTCATGTGACTGCATTTGTAAATAAGTATGGTTATGGGTCATGGTTGATAACCACATGAAGAACAAGTGATGAGTGTGATACAGTCACCAGGCAGCAGCTAGAAAAGTCACGGGTTTGACCTCATGCGGCCCGCTGAAGTGCTTTTGAGCAAAACACACTGTTGATTGAGCTCATCTGTCGAACTACAGTCACAGAGGGACTTTAGATAATTCAGATGTGGGTTTTTAAAGAACTCATTAAGTGTGTGTTTACGTGCTGCTGAGAAAATCGGACGTCTGTATGTTAATCAGTGCATTTATTGTGTTTGTAAGATTAATGATGAACAAAGAGGGATTCTGCTGCTCAACAGGATCATGTACTAAACTTCATTAAAACATATCTTATGTTGATACTTATGTCAGGACCAAGACCAGACGTGAATTAACATGAACAAACTGTGTATGTGAGAGTGAGAAGGAATTATTCCGCATTTTTGAAAATATGCATATTTAGTTTTTTTGATATTAATCTCATGTCTGTGTGATAAGTAAGGATCTGGAGTCAGGACTTAGTTAGCAATGGGAATCAACTAGCCTGGCTATATCCAAAAGTATTAAAGCAACAGAAGGTAACTTTTATAAAAAAAATAAAATAAATAGCTTTCTATCATATTTGTTTAAACTTTCACTTTTTTTCATAGATTATCCTTATAAAAGTTACTTACTGCAGCTTTAAAAAAGTTGAATGTTTAATCCATACATGAAGAGACATATAAAAAAGACAATTTGTGATTCAGTGGAGACGTTTGGTCCAACGTTTTCATCTCAATATCTGAAAGAAACTAAAAGAAAAAAATATATTCCATATAATGAGGTTGTCATGATATCATAATTTTAAACTTTGATACAGTATTAGTATAAAAAAACTGCACTTATACTCAGAATAACTAGACACAGAAAATAATCTGCATACAGTGTACAGAAAAAGACATCATGAGGACCAATATTTTTATTATATTATTTTTTATTATTGAATGATAGCATTGTATTGTTTTAAACACGTTGTATCAAAAGTATTGAAATAGTGGTAGTGTCTCTCTTAATCACAATGACATACAGAGGAGTCGTCATCTGACTCTAAATGTGACATCTCCAGATAAGACATCAGTTTCTCTGATTCATGGGTAATTAATAGATAGTGTAGTATCTTTCTGGCGGTGAGTTCTGTTCCCCAGGGGCAGAATGGGAAATTTCTCTCTCTCATTTCTTCACCACGTGCATTTTTTGATTTCTTCTCATGTTTGAAGTCTCATAATACTGAACTGCCCCCGAAACTTTCATTTCTTTTAAGAAAAACACCAAAATTGCTGGCTTTTTATAATTTCACTTTCTATTTTATACAGTCGGCACCTTGTTTAAACCACAAAAATAGTAAGAGAGTAAAATAGAAACAGAAAGTTAAACAGATCACTGTGTTTATTAACACAGTGATCACATTAATGATGAGACCGGCTGATTGGACGGCTCCAGTCACACCGGATGACTGTGTTGTCAAGCATGAGGTTTCATTTCTAAAATTCCCCGAAGTATTCAAATAAGTAAACAAAGTAAAACAAAATGCTGACATAAGTAAAAGCAATCCAATACAATACAAACCTTCATTAAGTTAACTTCATTAAGTAAACTGGTACAGTTGTAGAATAAAGTTGTATTTATATTACATTTAAAGCTTGGTGCTCTCTCTCACACTGGCAGTGCATTTGGAAGGAATCCTTTAACACAGTGTCTCTTTGCACACGGGTGAGAAGAGTCACACAGCAGCTATCTACTGGCTATTTACACTTGGCCCTCTAGTTTAGCTACATAGAGCGGCACGAAGGGTCGGTGGTCATAGTGGATGGTTCAAACACAGGACTTTAAGTCAGCATTGACTTATTAGTTTCAGTTTAAAATATATATATTCAGATTTCAGTGGCAGTTTGGTTAGGTTTAGGAAAAGACGATGGTTTGTCTCTTCCACCCTGGCAGCAGATTGTTGGCTACTGACACCTGGGGGCTAATAGCATCTGCCATCTTCATTTTTAATTTTAATTAATGAATGAACAACAGGAATTATTACAGCAAGCCAAACCTGTTTCATTGTTACAGTGCACATTGTTTTCTCTGTGCTCAACTCCTTTTTTCCCTTTCTCTTTCTTTTGTCTCTCAGGGCACTAAAGGTCAAGGCGGCCTGCCAGGCAGTGACGGTGACCCTGGAGAAGATGTGAGTTGGTTGGATTTAAAGTCGCAAATCTCGTGTTACAAATTGCCCGTCGTCTTTATCTTACTCCTCTGTTGCTGTGTGTGTCCTCAGGGTCCTATAGGAGTCCCAGGTTTGATGGGAGAGCCTGGACTGTTTGGTGTCAAGGTAACGGACACAATGGCTCCTGCCTTCAAGGGCATCAACAAAGCATAAACTGATATATAGATAGAGTACTTTATTAATCCCAATGGGAAACTGCAGAACCTGCATTATTGTTTGATTTGCTCATTATTTTAGTTTGGCTCCAAAAGAAGTCAGTGGCAACCAGGGTTGTGTGTCTTTGATCTTCTTTTTACCTCAGATTTTATTCAGTAGTTTAGATAATTTACATGACTGCAGACTGTTAATTTGCATATTTAAGTACATTTTTAATGTACAAACCTCAGTGCCATACAGTTATGTTACAGCTGTTTTTTTGTCCTGGAAATTCAGTTTTTTTCATCATCTTTGAGCTTCTCCTCATTGAAGCTCTCTGATTGGATGTGCCTTATTGGGAAACACTCAGTTTCAATTTAATGTTTTATTGGATTTTTCCAGCTCATTGTTGTATTGTTTGCACTGATGACTGTATTGAAGATAAATGAACACAACTACAGGAACTGATAAGACCTCACCCAATTCACCATTATAATGTTTAATACTTCTTAGTACATAAATACATTCCTCCAAAATGAATCATGACACGGCAAATGATTCAGTCATGGGATATTTCTGTCTATATACCAACACACACTGTAATGTAACACCCAGATTTTTAATAAGCCTGTTGGATAAAACAAACTGCTGAACTTGTGCTCAGTGTAACATTTGTTGTACTCCTGCAGGGCAGTAAGGGCGATCGCGGTGCGAAAGGACCTCGAGGCAGAGTGGGAGCTGTGGTGAGTGAGCAGCAGATAAATCCGACTCCACCTGCTAAGTCGATGTGGGAAAAACAGAAAGAGTGAGAATGAAACTGTCCTGTAAGGATAATTTAACAGGTTTGATCCCTGCAATATCCTGTGAAAGTGCCCTGAACAGCAACGTCCTCCTGTAAGTTATTCCAGATAAACGTAAAGTAATTATCAAAGAGACGTCTGTACCTGAAGATTAAAATGTCTGATCTCAAACAGGTAGTACAGTAGGTCCATCATACTTCATCATTATCATTATTATCTCTTCATTTTACACATGTTACCCATATTGCTGTGAATTCGCACTTATCTTCTGGTGAAACAGCAGGGAGACAAAGAAAAAACAAAGATTAAAAACCTTAAAACTGAGGCTATAATGTTATAGGAATAGGTGATTAAGAAAAACTAAACAATTCTTGTGTATTTTCAGACTTCTCATTGTCCTTTTTTATAGTGAAATACTGTCAATCTTTTGTCTTGATCTATCAATGAAATTATAGACATGTAGGCTGAAATAGGGAGACTTTGCACAGGCCAATAAGGTTAGCAATGACCTCTCTGGTTAATGAGGACGTTCTCAGTAAAGGGCGAATCCACAGATTTTACCCAGCCTGTATAATGTCTTCTGTTGCTCTAACAGAGCTTCACCTGAGTAATCTCAGCCTGGAGACGACACACTGTAACGAAAGCCTGTGTGTTGCCAATATTGACCCCAAAAAATCAATAACGTCAACGAATGTTAAAGCAGTTTGTTAAAAGAAAAGGGCTAATGTATTTTACAGAAAAGTGATGACATGAGGGTGAAAGTGAAAAGTGAAAGTTACTCATGTCACGTCAGTTGAGGATTCATTTCATTCCCAATATGCAAATAAATGAAAGCTGTGAATCTTGAACTCTCAGCACAGGAAACCTGTACAAAGATGTTTAATCCTGTCCACAATCAGAAGCCCAATCAGACAGAAACCTGTCCAATCTGGCTGAAAATGCATCCAGTAGTAAAATATAAAATAATTGATATAATTGAATTTGTTTACAGATATATTTCTGAAGAATTAGTTGTAGTTGTGAATTGAGAACTGAAAGTAATTGTTGAGTATTAGATCCGTTAATTAAAACCAGTTCCAAATATCTGAGGAAATTTCCCTTTTGTCAAAGGTTTAGTTTGTTGTTTTGACATTAATGTGGTCAGATGAGCCGCAGTGACATCGATATAAGGAACAGGGAACGTCCCTAAAAGACAAACAATCACAAAGAACACAAAACAGAGAAGTATTTTTATCCAGAATTTCATTGTGACCAAAACGTCCCGTCTGAAAGCTCGCCAAGTGCTGGATTATGTTTAAGGTGGGAATCATTGGGAGTTATTTATTAGGAGTACGGTCTAGACTTGAAATCCCAACATTTTATTATAAGTGAAGTCTATTTCATCATAGAGAACATTTAAAAACTACAAATGTTGTCTATCAGTGAATAAAATTATGAGAATGGATACATTATAAAAACCTGCCCGAATTTGTTCATTCTTACTTTTGTTAACAAAGGAGGCAAATAATAAAGACAAATGCCAATAAAAACAAACAATTAGTTCATCAAACACACACACACATAAAAAGTATATATATAAGAATATAGAATTGCAACAATGGAAAGGTACAAACACAAGAAACATTAAGTATGCATAAGAGAGTCTGTCTAATCTACGTGGGTAGAGTATTCCGACTGGACGAACAGGCACATAAAGGGTCAATAAATCCATTATATCATTTGGAGCAAGGCCATTTAATCCTTTAAAAAACAAGTTCATTTTACAACCAACACGAAATTTAACAGGTAGCCAGTGTGAATTGGCTAGGAAGTGGGGTTCAAGACGGATTTTAAAGCTGTCCGTGAAGTAGGAAGGTCTTACAGCGAGGGTCGAACTATTACACACTTTAAGGCTTTAAACTCCTCTGAAGAGACAGGTGCAGAAGATTTTCTCACGCTTTTTTTTTTGATTTTCAGATGATTTCTCAGTTATTTGAAACAGTCAAACAAGTTTAACCTAAAAAAACCAGCAAGTGTGAAAGATTCATACCGTTCAGATATGACTAGATTTGTGTTTCTCATCATCATCGGCTCATCATCATCATATCATTCATCTCATTTCAGTTATCTCACTTTGCTATCAAGTCAAAAACTCTTTAAAAGTTCATGTAGATGCAAACCAGTAAGAAAAACTCCAGACTGACCATGAAGCTATAAACAAAGCTGTTGTTCACACTTTGACATTTAGAGATGTGAGGGTGAAGTACCCAGTGAAGGGATTTTAAACAGTAAAGGTCATTTATTTACATGTTATTACCAAGTTGTATCTTTGTCAACATGCTCTCTGTTTTCCTGTCTTAATTTCCTTTTTTTAATAATATTTCATTGCATTTTCACTGTTGTCTTGTTTATATTTACATTGCTGCAGAGAAAGAGAGTATTTTTCTGTCTGTTTGTACAACAGGGAGCTCAAGGAGAGCAAGGAGATGCCGGAGTACCAGGGAAACTAGGACCAAAGGGCCTGTCGGGCCAGACTGTGGGTGCACACACACACACACACACACACACACACACACTTAACCCTTTAGATCAGTTATTAATATACTGATATTCATCTTTTATTGAATATAAGACATAACCAGGGTCTTATCTTTCCAAAAAGAACAACTTTAATAGAGTCTGCAGTTAAGTTAAAGAGTAAGACTAAGTAAGAGTTACTAAGAGTATGTAGAATCTAAAGAATAATAGGCAGAGTTGTTGATTATTCATCATCACAGTGGTGGAATATTACAATCACACAGCTACAGATACTGAGAACACTGAGATACAGTGGTAGCTAGTGGTACAGTGGTAATAGATACACGCACATCAATGTTAACTGTACATGTGACAAACACTTTCTACTTCTCAATTATCAATTTTTAAAATTTTATGTGAAATAAAATAAATTCTTCTTAATTTGAACTGTTACAGTCGAATGTAATCAATTCACTAGAGAGTAAACATCGGAAAAATGGATGCAGAGTGAAAGGAGTTGAGACACTTCATCATTACCCTGCATCAGTGGAGGAATAAAACTGGGGTTAAATGTGTCAATACTAGGCCTACCAGTAACTTAAATGACTATTTGTTTGCTAGTGCTGTCCTATATTTAAGAAATGTAGTCAAGAAAACTCCTGGAAAATCATTTCTTTATTCAAAAATATGATTTAAAACCAGCAGGTTTGTTTGTATTTAAATGATTAATTTCTTTATTTGAACAGCTTGTGTTAATGTCCCAGATCTTATTGCAATTCTGACTTTCTTATAAGAGATTGTCCCAGTTTGGTGTTTGTGTTGGTTCCTCTACACATGTATTAGGAACACATTAATGTTACTGTTAGAGCTAAACATTGTGCGGTAATAAGCTTCTCATAAACCCTCAAGTTTAAAATCAATTGTTTTTCTTCCAGGGGGCCAAAGGTGAGACGGGACCTGATGGTGAGAAGGTGAGTGTTCACACATCAGAGTCTGCACATGAAAGTCTGAGAGAATACCTTTTAAAACAATTCCTAACATCCATCTTTAGAACACAGTGCATGAAAAAATTAAATCTCAATAAACACCAGACGGGAGTTTCCCTTTGTCTGTCCACTTTGTTTGTCGTCTTTCCTGTTTTACCGTGTTTACTATAAGACAACAACCTTTTCTTCAGCTTGGATCAATCACTCAGATCCTGTTGTTGATTTTGTGGTTTGTGGTTTTGTGGCTTGTGCATCATGTGTTTTGTTTTTTTTTTGTGGCAGGGTGCAGCAGGGAAAAAAGGCATTAAAGGCGTAAAGGGACTAAAGGTAATTCTACTTGTTTACCGTCTGATGATGAAACAGTCGTTCCACAGCATTTTACTTCCTCTTTCCACAACGGCTGGGATTTACTCACTAATTTGTTTGTTCCTTCTTCCCTTTCCCATTCAGGGAAGCCGGGGTGACGGTGGAGACAAAGGACAGGTGATTACTTTGTTTATCTTTTACCGTGACGTCATAGAAACACACACACACACACACACATCTAATGCAGCTGCCGGAGCTGGCTCCATCTGATCAATCTATAATACAGAATAAAAAACAAATGCTTGAAACAAATGTGTTTATGGCCCTTTGTTACAGACTGCATTGTAGTTTAGAGATATTAAAGGATAAACTTCAGATTCATGTCTACAGTTAGAAATAGCTTTTGTAAAGTTGTAAAATAAAGTGTTGGCCCTTTTAAATAATTCATTTAAAGTGATTATTTTAGGCTTATTCTTGTGAAAACGGATTTTTAACAAAAGAATCAGGGTTTGAGACATAATCTGAGTTTTGTGTGTCTCTAAAATAACTAACTTTAGGGGTTAATATAAATAACTAACAGCCTAATGTGCGTCTTGAAGTAGATTGCAACCAGAAACTACAACAAAATTTCAATAGTCTGAAATATCGCAAAAGAACGCAATTCTGCCCTTGGAACTAATACTCATACATTTAAACATACGTTGTTTGTCACATTACAGCGTGGACCAAAAGGTGCAGTCGGTCGTAACGGCGTCCCCGGCCCTGTGGGACCGCCTGGCATCCCTGGTACCAGAGGAGAGCGTGGCCAGATCGGCGACCTGGGTGTTAAAGGCAAAGCTGGAGCCAAAGGAGCCCCAGGTCCCTCTGTGAGTGACACTCCCAAAACCCCCACTCAATTCATTGTCGTTTTAATTGTTAGAAACTGCTTTCAAAATTAGTTTTTTTGTTAATTTGAGTTTTGAAATTGACTTAAAGGATTACTAATAAGATCACATCAATAAAATGAGACACATCTTTAAACGTGATGTCCTACTTAATCTGAAGAGCCTTGTTAAATAGACTAATGTTAAAGTTTACAACGTTTTTTAACCATCTCTTGTGAAGTATCTGTCATATTATATATTATATATATATTAACTGACTTGTAAAAGTTGTTGTTTTGGAGCTGAAGATAACCTGAGTGGGTTTCGGTTCTGCAGGGTCCTGGTCTGACTGATGAGCAGGTCCTGCAGCTCTGCAGAGGTGTGGTCACAGCCCAGATCTCCCAGTACGCCTCCTCCATCCGGGCCAAGTGCTCCCAGGGCTGCCCCATCAACAACCGGACACTCATCGGGCCCCCCGGTGCCCAGGGGCCGTTAGGATCCCCGGGGAAACCTGTAAGTCCCACTCCTACCTCACAGCTACGATGGTGGAGATGGTTTTTAGTCCAATTCCCCAGACTTCAAAGATCATATAATTTTAGTTTTTGCTTAGATTTGATTTATTTACACTGATTAACGATTGGATTTTATGTCCCAAACACATCCAAAATGTAGCTGTTTACTGCTGCAAGAAGATTCTGATCACCACAATATCCAGTAAACCTGCACAGATCGCAGTAAACAAGGTCGTCCTGTGAGGAAAAAAGCTCAGTAACGCTTTAGAAGCTGTAGATGAAAATGTCCATTTACACAGCTGTTTCACATGTAGGTTTTAGGGCTGCAGCTATCGAATATTTTGGTAATCGAGTATTCTATCGAATATTCCATCGATTAATCGAGTAATCGGATAAAACATACTTTTGCTTAATTAAAGTCCAATTATTAAATATACAATCAGAAAACAAGACAGATCCTTAAAAATACACAGTCAAATTTGTTATCCTTTTTAAGAAAAATTTACATTTATTTATTATTACATATATAATGCAACAGTTAGGTTAAAACCGTTTCAGGTTTCAAAATTTCCAATATGAAAGTAAATAAAAATTACTTCAGACTACGGGTACACAACTCCCATCTTGCAATGTTAACACACACCACGGATGTTGTCCTTAATTTTTTTTTTTTTAATTCTTTATTACTCATCACACACTGTACGGGGACGCATAGCCTGATGACGTTAAAACACGTTGTGTCACCACATTGAAAAAGAATCTGGTGCGAAACGTGAGCTTTTAAATTATAATTAAACGAGGCTTCGAGGCAGAGGAAATTCCTCGATCATTTTTTGTAATCGAGTTACTCAAGTTACTCGAGGAATCGTTGCAGCCCTAGTAGGTTCAAGGCTCAGCTTTCCCGTCATTATACGATACAGGACTGCACAGTGAAATGCAGTTATAGCTTCCTCCATGCTACACACACAGAACATATATGAACTAATATTCTAAGTTAGAATAGAATAAAACAAAGCACTAAAGGAAGAAATAAAGGAGGAAAATAAAGTTAAACATACAATTACGTATATACAAGCAAAACTTTGTATAATATGTGCAATATCAGTGTAATGGGAAAGTAATATTATATTATAATGGCAACCCCGACAGAGAAACCTCTCCAATGATGGCTCCGATTCGCTCATCCATGTCTGTTGTTATGGCAGTTTTCCATGGCTGTAATAGCAGCAGCTTTCTTTTGCACTAAATCATAAAGGAGATTTCCTATCTCTGGCCTTTAGGTGGCGTTTCCTTTTCCCTTTCTTTTGTCTGAGTTTAATGTTAACTGTCAAATGTCTGGTTTGTACACGGCAGTTAAGTGCCTTTATATGAATTTATTGGGGTAACTCCACATGCATCCGATTTAAGGTCAAAAAGTTCAACATACTCAGGTGGGTAGGAACAGACTTGGCTGTCAGTGCACATTTCATGAATCCCGTGTTGTATTTTCGTATTTCCCCCATATCGCTTTGTGCAAGAACAAATACAATAGAAAAATAAGAAAACATTCCTGCATGAGGCCCATTATGAATGTACTGGATTCCTCTCACACACACAGATTTGATCAAGTTGTAGACGATCATGTCGGAGTACAACACAAAGAAGAATCGTGAGATATCATTGTTATCCTCATACAATCACTGTGTGATTCCGCTTCCACCTATCAGGGTAAAGTGGGAAAAGCCGGAGCCAAAGGAGCCAGAGGTGTTCAAGGTGACAGAGGACTGGAGGGACAGAAAGGAGCGGAGGGTAAAAGAGGTAAGATTTACACACAAACATAAAAAAAAAGAATAAAAGCCTTGTGTTATCTTTGACAATTGTGTAGCTGACCTTAATGACAGACCAAAGACGAGTGATTTACTTATTTCAGGGCATAATATTATTAAAGCTAGAGCAGAAAAAATTCTGTGTATGCCCGACCCGAAAACTAAGTTTCACTTAAAATAAATAAAACTATTCATTAACTAGTTTACTACAAGCTAAAGTAAACAACATTGTGCATACAATATTGTTGGAGTTGGAGTTTTGTAGTTTTTCCCAGAAGCTGTTTATGTTTCTCTCAACAGGTCAAAAGGGAGCTAAAGGCCTCACAGGTGATCCAGGTAAAGGCCTGCCGGGACCTGACGGACCACAAGGCCCCAGAGGTGCGACACTATTCATCTCCACATAATCATTCTTAACTTTACATCAGGTTGTAGAAGCTGCTAGAGATCTGCTTCAAGATGATTTATCACGGTTTAGAGCTGCTAAACTCTAAACTTCCCTGTTCAGGAAATGTAAAATATAGCTACTTATGAAGAATTTCTTTGTATTTAAACCCATTTTTTGTATGCTTTGTGGGTTTTTTTCTGGACTGGGAACAGGACCTAGAGGTTCTATGTAAACAAAACTACAATAAGCAAAGTCTGTAAAACTCGGTCCTCCTCAAGTCTCAGTGCTTTACAGTAGCTAGCTGGTAGGTTGAACTCACATTTTCATCAGTTATCAGTTTCTTTTCCTAAAACCTGAATTTCATTTGGCTGTTTTTACATTACTCATAGTCAAATGTTTAACTTTACAATTTGTAATTTCCTCTCTGCAGGTTTGACTGGTAACCCGGCAGAACCCAAAAATGGCATGGAGGGTCCCAGAGGTCCCCGTGGCTTCCCCGGTGCAGTCGGTCAGTCTGGCATGCTTGGGGTCGCAGGCGTGCCCGGTTTTTGCGAGGCGCGGGACTGCAGTATTCATGCGCCGGTGATGCGCAAAGAGCAGGGTCTGGTGAAGGGACCCGTCAGTTCAAAAATCTGAACCTGAACGCGAGCGACACCGACCGCTGCGAGATTATTGGGTCTGAGATTCACCCTGGTGGCAACCAAAAGGTTCATCTCATTGAATTCCAGCTGACAGTAGGACTGGGTTTAAATGGGACAAAAAATGTGTTAGATTTATGACAATAACTTGTTTAAAAGCTGCAAATCATTGTATCCTTCATTGACTGTTGTTGAATATGTCAGTGGACCAAATATAGTACTGTGGGGTGCTCCGCTGGTGGGCAGGTTTGGTAACAAATGGGAAACTGCAGAAAAGAAACCAGAAAAGACTTTACCATTTGAGCTGGAGAAGGCTGCAAGTGAACTTTTATTATTTTCAAGGTTTTATAATTCATAAAGATCCAAACACTGTTTGTTTTGATCTGGAATAATTGCCTCTGATGTACTGTAATTTGATAAGAACACTAAATAATTCCTCACCGAATTGTTCCTTCAGTTTAGTTCTTGTTTTCTCTGGTTAAATAAAAATAAAAAATGCTATGTAAATATTTTGTAAAGTATCTCAAATACATGTACTGTGCTCTAAAATATGTTTCAGATAAACTGATGTTTTTTAATCTGAGTCTTCAGTTTGTCGGTCGTCACGTTTTAGTGTTAAGAGGTTTTGCTTTTAATTCTGAGAAATAATATTCCAGAGATGATCAGTCACAGAATAATAACCTGGATCCAGAGTTTTTTGGAATTCAAATAGGAATAAAACACTAAACTCACTGTAATTATCAGGCATTATCGTCACAGTAAAGCAGTTATCTGATTGTTTGTATGTGTATTAAGTAGCAATGTGTTTGACAAGATGACTTTATCCTCCAGATTTAATAGAACTGTAAACTATTGAAAATAATTCAGATTTCTGGGAAAAAACATTCAAAGTACCCTCTTCAATAAAGTTTCTTTCAAAGTTGAATCTATAATTGAACCCCACGTTCCACATTATTAATGAATGAATTATCCTGCACACCCCACCCTCCCAATCTCTCATCAGCTACTGATGGCTTTTAATAAATGTTCAAAACATGCAACTATGAGATCTGAGCTGAGAGAAAAAACAAACATTTCTCACTGACACAGTCAAGCTCAAAATAACAGAAATAAAATACTACTGCTGCTACTTTATCCCTAGCTCACATGCAAGTTTCTAGTGTTGATTCATCACCAAACCACATATCAGAGTCTCACAGTTTAATACATGTTTTATTGATTTTTTTTTTCCACAATACAATACATGAAGGCAGAAACAGGAAGAAGTGCACATAGGTTTTGGTCCTTGCTGTAAAAGATGACACCTCACAGCATGTAATGATTATATCTGGATTATAAAACACAGTACAGCGATGTTTATGTTGATTTGTAAGGCAGCACATGGTTTACAGTAAAGTGATATGGTACAGTTACATTTTTTAGCCACAAATGAGAGAACAACATATACATTTATATTGCTTCACAATTCTTCCAGCAACAGATTTTGGACTTTGAGAACTCACTTATGGAATGTATGCAGCCTCAGGGAGATAAAACTGGATACAGGCAAAAAAAAAAAAAAAAAATCTATTTTTGAGTTAAAAAAAAACTAATTCAAGTAATTAAACCAAACAAGTTCTCAATTCTAAAATCAAAAGCACCATTATTGTTACACAGCTTGCATAGTAACACTGCCTCATATGTGTCATTGGCTCTTTTGGAGAAAGTGATTTTTATTGTAGTATTATTATTATTATTATTAATGCCACTGTAGGACGCAAACGTCTCTAATGCCTGAACAGCAGCAGAGTACCTGTCAGTAAACACACTTAACGGCTGGTTTTTAGTGATTTGATCAGTTTTAAAAAGGTCTGACACAGTCGCGAAGCAGGAAAGAGCATCACTAGAGCTTTAATTCTTAAATTTATAACCCCATCCCTGACCCAAAATGATTGATTTGAATTGCTGATTTCATACAGATGAACTAAAAACCGAATTAAACTTATATATACTATACGTTTAAAATGATTTGAATTAGTAAGAAACTCAAAATGCATAGCTTTCCTTCATTTGTACATTAGGGCTCAATACTATAACAAAGTCTTGATAAAAACTAGAGACAATAACTGTTAATACTTCAGTGCATTTTAGTTTAGTTATTTTCTCACTTACTACTTTAGATGTCATTCATTTTCTCAATTTCAGGGGATTTAGAGATGTTATATCCTTGATTAGTGTGACATGAGTAACTTTAGGTAGGTATAGAAATAAGTAAAAAGGTTAAGGACTGGGACTGTTAAGTCACAGAAGAGAACTTAGGAAGTCACAGGTAGTTTGATTGACATCGCTCATCGAATTAAATCATTTAAATAAAAGAATTGTACCGGCGAGAGATACATGTAAGAGATAGTAGGAAACATAGTGTTAAAGTGTGTGCAAGGAGGAAAATAGCTTATATGTAGTTAATGTTTTGGATAATCGGTCGTGAAACTTTCCATAGCAGCTCAGGAAAAGTCCTGGTTTAGTTTCATTTGATCTAATACTCTCTACTCGGACTGAACCAATCAGATGCTCTCTCCTGCTCCGACCCTTATTCACCTTCCTTCATGTACATTAAGACTTCATCTGGTGTGGATTTTTTTTTTAAAGTGCCTTAAATTAGTTCACTCCAGACTGAAATACTGTGACCATGATATGTTGCGAGCGGGAGATTTCACAGTGCTAACATAAAGTTGTCAGTACTTTTCATTTGGCTTGCCTTATTTATTTCGTTGTGGCGAAGTATGGAGAGATGAGGCTGAATCTGAGAAACAGAAGCTGAAAGCTGTAAACTGTCATCTGTTTCAACAGAGCTGAATGTGTGCGGACATTTTGCAGCTTTTAATAACTGGAATCAATCAATCAGGTTATTCATTTTGGCTTTACATTCAGTTAGTTTGCTGGCATACACCTGGACTCCTAACGTCTGTGTCTTGTCAAATTATCGAAGGCATTTAGTATAAATTTGTCTATTAGCTGCACATAAACACTAAATGCCCTCTGGTCCTTTTAAAAATCCCTTTTGTTTATTGCTACCTTCTGTTCTTTGACACTAAAAATCCCTTAAATAAAAATAAAAAATGCTCCCACTACAATTTAATAAAAAAATTCCAGTTAAAAGTTTGCAATACCTATTTAAAGTATCGAAATCAGTAAAATATTTGAGAAATGTACAGTTTTATGTTCACTGTCGAGAGCCAATTTCCAACTCTCAAGTGGTTTCACAAAAAAAAAAAAAAAATCTGTAATAAACTGTTAAAATGTTGTCTGTTCAGGCAAGCTAAAGGTTTGGTAAGTCTGAATGGATCTGAGGTTAATGTGGTATCAAGTGATCTGGGGGCTGTATTTCAAGTGTTTTGGGCATTTCAAGTGTTAAACCAGTTTTTAAAGTGTATTTGAATCAGTAGCAGTAGCAATGATCGTCTTCTGTTCATTCAGTGTCAAATAAATAAGCTGCCATAGCATTAAATATTGGAAGGTTAGGCCCTAAACAGAGAGCGTTAAAAATATTATTTTGTAACTGTAAACTGGAATATCACACCGAAACAGGGCAGTAGTTGAACGGGACCAGGTAATAATACTTAATAAAAACACTGCTCTGTTTCTTACAACCCTGAGAGAAGTATGTGAAATGATATTAAATGAACTTAATGGAGGGGAAACTATTTTTTTCCTATATGTCTCTAAACATCATCCTATGGAGATAATACAGTCATTCCTGTCGCGTTGAACAGATTATTATTAAAAGACAAAAACTAATGTGCAGGACTTCAGCTGTTGCAATTAAAAAAAGTGCTGAATATATACATATATATATATATATATTAATATATATTGCTACTACTACTACTAAAATGAAGGTAATATAAAATAGCATATAAAATAGCTAAGTAAAGTGCTGAGGACAGCAAGCAAAGTGACAGAAATGCCCTGAGGTACCACGTATAGCAGCATACACTCGCTGGTGCCAGAGGTCGAAGTCTTAGCAGCTCATCAATCCAGCGACGACCAAAGACAGCAGCAGCAGTAAACCAACGGACCCTGCAGCGACAATATGGAAGTTACCTCACACACATTACCCATATAGCATACTCATTTCAGTCCCAACTGATGCCAACACAGCAGTAATCTGTAATTATGTTAGGCTGCAAAAGAGGAACCGTCAATAAAGCAAAAAAAAGCCTTGTTTCTGGGAAATGAGACTTATTTTTTGTCTAAAAAGAAAAATCATCTTGTCAAGCATGTTTTTCATTTGAAAGAAAGTCATTGTCGAGAAAGTCCATCTATCTTTGTCTTAAAGTCTTACTTTTGTCATTGTTTTAATAAAAAATGCTGAAAATTAGAATTATTCTGGTGCCTGATTAATCTTAGATTAAGCTACAAATTCTTAAATTCAGCTCAATAACGTGACCGAAATAAAAGTGTTCATTGCAGTCTTTCAATGGATATATTTTTATGTTAGTCTTACCCCATTGGCAGATTGTTTTGCTCAATATAAGAATTTGATTATATAGCTGGTTATGTAGCATTTTGCTAGCGTTAGCTAAATTGAGAGGTGACTACATAAACTGTATGTCGCTCTTATCTTTTAACCCTTTTCAAAATGTGTCTTTTTAATATAGCTTAGACTAGCACATATCTAAGAACAAAGAAAGAGTTTAAGAATTTAAATGCATCCTCAGCAAAGAGCCTGTTGGTCTATAAATGGAGACCCACCCTGATGTCCCGGAGCCAGAGGAGAAGCAGAGCATGGCTGGCTGTAGTAGTGGATGTGCTTCTCATCAACCATATTCCCGTCCTGTAAAGAAGGATACCACACACTGAGCCAATCATAAGTGTCTGGAAGTTAAGTTTATATACATAGTGTTGTTTCTGAATGCTCAACCAGTCTCTGAATCGACTTCCTCCTAAATTTCATGAATATCAGTTCAGAATTAATCGAGTTACAGTCGATTTTATAGTAAAGTCTGCATCTCTCAGTATTGTTAATTAGTGGATCTTGACCTCCACAATATGGCGGCCACGCAGATGTACGTCAAATAGAGAACTCTATGTTTCTGTGTCTGTGCTTTTGCTCCTCAACAATTCAAATCATCTGGACAAAGAAGGTTCGTTAGAATATAAGGTTGCTGCTCGGGAATGTCAAGAAGAAGTGGGAAGACCTACGCTGTGGCAGACGACGGTTGCGTTCACGTTCGCGCATTCATCCAGCGTCATCACTCCACCTCTGATTTTCCTGCATGGAGGTATGCACTGTGTGTCCGAACCCTTGGAGTGGGCGATGTGCTGCAAGAAAGAAAGAAAGAAAGAAAGAAAGAAAGAAAGAAAGAAATCAGTTTATGAACAGGAAATAGTTCGTTATTTATCCTGAATTAAGAAGTGACACGTTTCGATCTCTAGTAGCACCTACGCCTTTGACTCATGAGGGCAATGAGGACACAGTACAGCTGAGGCTGATGGGAATGTCTACAATTCATCCTGAGGGGATCAGGAATGTCTGAGCCCAGTTTAATTCCAATCCAACCAACAGTGGTTGAGATTATTCAGCACGGACCGAAGAGGCCACCGCTAGCAGGGCCCCCAAATACAACCAGCTTATAATTACAATGACACTTCATTGTGGGCGGACAGTCTGCTTTCTAACCCAGCTCATATGAAATGAAATGGCGGTTTTATTGAAAGTTGTCTGGTGGCAGGTTCATGTGTTCTTTGGGCTTGTTTGTGTCTGGTTGAACGATCATTGAAAGCACAGAAACATCCCATTTGGAACATAAACTCTGTAACTGTGCACACAGGCTTTATCTATATTTACCCTTGTGTTGATGTCCCAGGAGTTCTCACAGCTCGGCTCGTACTTCAGTTCAGGTTTGCAGCAGGAATACTGCGAGGTGCTCTCTTTCACATCTGCATTGCAGCTCACAAAGCCCACAGCTGCTAATGAAGACCAAGAACATAATATAAATACACCGGGCATCGTCATTTTATCCCTCCCTTTGGTCAAAACATCAGATTTAAATCCTGAAATGTGCTTTTATCCTTTTGGTCTGTTTATTATTCTAACATGTGGACAATAGTGATGGGGGAAGACAAAACTTTAAAGCCTGGCATGAATGAAAAAAGCTCCTATCTGTAGTTACAATCTAGAGCACATAAAAGAGGAATAAACGTGTTATTCTTGCTGGCTTTATTTTTACCCTGAGGTCATGAAAGTCTCCATTTAGTAAAGGAAAGCAGAACTTTATCAGGCTTCCATGAAGGTCATAGTGGGAATTTCCCCCCTTTGATTTCATGTAACTATCAGTTCCTGTTTTGCTGTGGAAACTACCTCACAGCATGTATGAAAGTACGGGGAATCCCACGCTGCTTTCACTTTCTTTCAACATTAACAGCCCAGTCATACATAATAATATATGCTGACATGTTTACATTACATAGGCCTCCGGAGTACAAACAATGTTACTGTAGTAGTATCGTTTTAAATAAATGGCCATATATTGCTGCAGTATCTGCTAAACGGGAGGTAAACATACAAACAACCATAAACATGCACATAAAACACGAACAGTCTTCTCTCTCATTCACACAACAGTCTAAACTCTCCTGCAACATTCTACTGCCGAACTTCATTCAATAATCGGTCCATTTCATGTAGTTTGCTGCCCGTGGCTTTAGCTTTAGCAGGTAAAACGTTTTCACCTTCAGTTGTTAGCCGATTTTACCCTCACACATCAACTGTTAATAAAATACCTTAACAGATGCTCTTAGCATTATGGGTATGTAGTTATAAGCAGGGGGGGATTAAATTGACCCTTTTTTAAATGCAGTTTGGCGTGCGTAACTGTCACCCGGCCCCAACGCACAGCCGGGAAGGAAATAGAAAGACAAGAATGGTCCTAATCTTATCCCTCCACACCGCTGGCACACCGCTGGATTACTCACCCAACAAGAGGAGAGAGACTAGACGCGCTGTAACCATCGCTGTGGCTGTCTGTCCTTCACTCTGGGTTCTCTGAAGCTTCATCAGCGCGTTTACCTCTTTCTTTCTCTTTCTCTCTCTTCTACCTTTTTTTTTTTACACCTTACGTCCCCCAGTACTACTACGGTGTGTGTGAGTCAATAGTGGGAAACTTGATGGTCTGCCCTGAGGAAACGTGCAATGTGATGTAATACATGTTCGTTATTGAATGATAGCAAAGGGGAAGTTTCGTTTACTCCGTAGGCCAGAGGCGTGTCTGTCTAATGATATAAGAAGGAACAGTCACCAGCACACACACCAACTCACATTTCTGCTGTGCGGACTCGTTTCTCACCCTCCCTGTGCAGCTGAACACCATAATCATGTGTCCAGGTTTCCTGAACCTTGCTTTACTCTTGTCTTTATGTAAGTACTTTAAACCTATTCAACGTCAGATGCACTTTTCTGCTGCTGTGTGTTGTTGTTGTTGTCTGTTGGTTGTTTGCGTGGTGAAGCTTCTCGTTAAACTGTGCCACGCACTTTGTTGCGGCAGAGTTCTTGTATTAACGCAGCTCCACATCACCACCCATTAACACCCTAATTTTATGTATTCTGGTCTCAGGTGTGTGTCTGGCAGTGGGCATGGCTGTCTCAGAGGAGTTACTGCAGATAAAGTCTGTCTCCGGTTCGGATGTTAGGCTGCAGTGCACGGCTGTATCCCAGCCCGGGGTCCAGTACAGGGCAGTGAGGTGGTACAAGGTAAACACTTTTCATTACATGTGGTTTTTATGAAGGTTATGATTCAGTTCTTGTAGGGCTACATGTCCAGTTCTCATTGGCTGGTTTAAAATTCATGCTTTTACTTTCGTTTCTCTCAAAAGGTACAGCATATGTAATAAAATGTATGAATATAATAGGAGTAATAATAGACTTTAGTACTGGAAGTTAGTTAGTTAGTTAGGTAGTTAGTTAGAGTAGCATTATAAGTAAAAGTAGAAATATGGTCTAAAAATATATCATTACAAGTAAAAGTCCAAAAGTTTTATCAGCAAAATGTACTTAAAGTATGTAAGTACTTAGTATGCAGAATGTGTCATATTCTTATAGAATATTATATTATTTTGCTTTGATCACTAATAAATACATGTAATATGACTTTAATGTTGTATTTTTGTATGGATACTTCTGGTAGTAGTATTACATTGAGTTACGTAAGCATATCATGTATTTTGTTTCATGTAAAAAGTAAATGTAAGCGTCAAATAATGTACTAAAGTAGAAGTATAAAGCAGAGATAGCACAGACAGGTAAACTGTAGAAAAAGCTCCCTAAAAGTATCAGGAAAATACTCGAGTAGCAGTATTGGATGACGAACTCAGAGCTTTTACTTTAGTTAAAAGTAATCCAATGTAAACAAACTAAATAAGAAGTAACATTTTAAATGTCTGACTCGTGTAATGGAGTATTTGTAGAGAGTAGTTTACTTGTTGTAGTTGTTGATGTGTTACTGATCAATCTCACACCGTGCTGATGATGTCACAGGTCAGGGACCCGCCGTCTCCGTCTCGCCTCAGCGGCCTTTTGACCAGAGACCTCCCCGACGGCCCGACACGATGGTACACCAGCGGGGACCAAGAGGCAGAGCTGATGAAAGAATCCAACGGCATCTTCCTGCCCAACGTGACGTGCGAGGAAAGCGGCGTGTACGAGTGTCACCTGGCGGCGCCTGTGGGAGAACAAAACCGCGACGGCCGGGTACAACTCACTCTGACAGGTAAAAGTCAGAACTCAGCAGGTTTTCTCTCAAGTTCCACAGGCAGATTCTCCAAACTTTCCCAGTTCTCTGAAGAAGATTAAAGGCCACCTAACACATCATAGACCTTTAAAATTTGAACCAGGGGACTTCCAGACTCAGTCGACTCTGATGTTGTGAGCGTCCACTGTAAACACACCTGGATCTTTTGCTCCAGGGGAAAAGCGTGGGTTTGAGAGGGTGAATCATCCGTCAAACACCACAGCTTTTTAAACATTCACACCAAAAACCACTTCAGAAGAGGGAGAATTGAATCTCTTGTAGCAGAATAAGAGTCTGCAGCACTGGGAGGCTGAGTTGTATTCAAATGGTTGCAATATGCAAATTCACCACTAGATGCCACTGAATCCTACACACTTGTCCTTTAAGACAGTGGTTCCACTAGGGGGTCACCAAAGCTTTACAGGGGATCGCGAGGCCTTCTTTATTTTAATGGGTGTATGAAAACTAAAACTTCCTCAGTTTACTCAATGATAGAAAAGGGGTTGGAAACCGCTGCTTTATCATGTACAAGAACAACACAAACCCTTTCGAAACTGAATGACCTAAATAAGTTGTGACCACTGACTTCATGATGATGATGATGATGATGATGATGATGGCCAGGTGTGATGTGATGTAACATTCATTTCTGCTTTCCTTTTTTCAGATTGTCCAGACATTTTCGGGGAAATTGTGATGACAGACACTTACATGGTTATCGTCGCCACAGCAGTGCTGGCGTTTGCACTGGTAGTATTCATAATAAGCTATGTAAGTACTTTGTAAGTAATGGAATATGCTTACACACACAGTAATGCTTTAGAAAAGTGCTTTACTTGTACTAAACATAAAGCTACAGCAGACTACACTCACATGTTTATAATTTTATGTCTCACTAGTCTTCTTCAGTCCTTATCTAAATGTATTTTTACTCTTTCTCTGCCATAGGTTTGTTTGAGGAACACCATCAAAGGTAAAAACAAGACAACAGTAAAAGAAACTTTATTGGATGCACCGCTCAAGCCACTTGAAAAGAAGGACTTAATGTTGATATATACATTAGGTCCGAACTCAGGCAAAATAAAGCACATCTGTGTTTAAAGACGAAGATTGTGCTGCAGAAATTCCGGTAGAAGGAATGGCTACACGACGACTGGGAGGAGAAATCTGAAGCTTCTTTGCTATCTATCACTCATCCTCAGATGGCGCCATTTTCTAATTCAATGTATAAAAGAGGAGGATATGAAAATCTAATGATTCCCCGACTTAAAACTCCAGCTGAGGATGAGGAGCGAGTGCTAATGAACTCTTCAGAAGCTAAACTAAAAGCGGGTCTTCCTCTCCCCGGACAGTCAGGCACAGCGGGGAAACGTGGAGCCGGACACCAACTGCTGTTCTGTAAAGGCAGAGCAGGCCGTCTGTGGCCGGAGGTTTCCCGGGTACAACAGGATGGGCGATCATGCCCGGGGTCCTCCTGTCTAGGGTTAGGGTCAGGTCAAGTCAAGTCTGAGGAAGATGAACTGCTGGGTCAACCTGTTTTTTCCCTTCTTTGTGCAATGCATACAGTTTCTCTTTTTATACTGAGTTGTTGTAACTGCGCCCTCTGTGACCACAAGTAGCAAACACTGGATGTTTAAAGTCCCCCTTCAGTCAGAAATGAAAAGATTCACTTTTAATAGATTCTTGAATTTTTAACGAGGTAGGAGTAGATGCCTTTTTTATTGTGGATATTGTACTTTTATCCAGAGAGACACACATTATTGTTCTTAGCAGATTATTTATATATGTCGTAATAC